ATCCGCGAAAATTCGTTCAGACGATCATCATCCCCATCATCATGTCTGTCCTCGCTTGAAAGACTTTTATGGTATGAACTTTTGCACACTCTGAGCTTAATTTGATCTTTGCCCTTTAAATTACCATAATAAAATGGGTAGGATGTCCGCAGAATGTCTGAATAGCAGCGGCCCACACGGAGTCTCCTTTTATGGCTACTCAGCCCTGTCTTATCTCGCTTCTCGGAGCTTTGTCGGGCTATACTAGGAGATCATGCGGCTAATACGTGCCGAGAAGTATACTCTGTACAATACTTTAGGGGTATAGATGGATTGATTGATTTAAATTTAAATCTCTACTGAGTCCTAGACTTTGAAAGACTACTTAAAGATCTATTTAAATAGCTCTTCAATTAATAGGTTAATTTTTAATTTGAATATAACAATTATATGCCAGTTGATCCTGAGGGTCATGCCCTATTATTAATTCATTTTATTGTCCTATCTGAGTCTGACTATGTTGGACATGCAGGAGGGTCATGCCCTATTTTTTTTTTTTTGCATCAGATTTTAATTGCGTATGCAGCTATCTAGCTATGACACAATGTCAAAGAAAAGTACAGAATAGATGATTCAACGTAAAGGAAGAGCACTCATGCCTCAGATTTCATTTGCAAGTACCACTGCGAAGTTATAGTGGCTTTTTCTTCACCCCAAGTCAACCCTCATCCGTGAATATCCACCCAGGAAAACGTCTCAAAAACCCTGGGTTATCCAGACATGCCTCCATCACCTTTCAACTTTTCTCCGCGCGAAATATGGTCTGAGGCGTCTCCTTCCCAAGTGGAGTAGGTGCCCAGGCTACTCAGACTATACCAGAAAACACCACCAGGAGGCAGACCACAACACCTTCCATCGTTGGCTTGTTTTTATAGTGTCAGCTGCACTCTCGTAAGTGAAGTCTTGGCACGCACAAAGCTCATTTTGTAAAAACTCCTTGCCAAAATTCGGAATTTCATGCCCGTCGAGAATGTATCCATCATTCGCATCATCTTATGAACTTGTCCTAATCCCTCTCACGTCCATCCCAAAGGAACAGTCTCCCAGATTTGTGCTCCACGCTTTGCTTCCTCCGTCGGGTATAAATATCGGCGTGGGCGTGTATTTGGTGATCGGCTGAGGCCAGAGAAAGTCGAGGAGAGGTGTGTTCATTGAAACGAGGATGTACTATGTCGTACTTGTAGACTGGATGAAGCTTAGTTGAGAATCGGACTCTTTGGGAGTGAAAGATTGACATGGTGGAGTAATTTGAAATTTTGCCTCGTGGGCCAACTTCTTTGATATTGCGAAATTTGACTGAACTTGGCTCTGGGAGAATATTTCACTCTCGGGTTCGTAGAGGACACCGCGTACAGGTGTTCAGTCTTGCCCTCCGGGTCATGCCCTAATATGGGTATAGAATGATGAATAAAAAGAGGCTTTTCATCGAAAAACTATGGGAACAGTTGACTTTTGTGTAGATACATGCTGCAGATTTCAACAAGTTTCGCGTACCTATTACGCTTTGAAGTAATTTGATATCTTTTACGTGATGGGAGGAACCTAACATATATTTAGACGTGACATGGTTAGATGGGCTCTGAAAGCTCATTGCTACCCACGTGAACGGCAATATAGCCAGAGAAGAAAAAGAAATTTACAATAGATGTCTGAGTTACGGTGCCCTGCGCCGCATGCCCATCTTCCAAACACATCGCCTCTCGAGTTGAGAACAGTCTCAGCGTGGTCATCTCCCACCCTGTTCATTATTCGGCAGACTGTTGCATCTGATTACAGTTAGGAATTGGAAACCTATTACTATCCATTCTCCCCAATCATTTCCTTGGCCCCAACCAGGGGCCATTTTCTCACAGCTTCTCCAAAGTTGCAAAGCAAGTCGGCACTCTGACAAATGCACTCAGATCTTGATGTAGACGGTTGAAATGCTGGTGGTGGCAGACATAGTCCCCGTGGCCAAACACTGCATGAGTTGCCCCTTTCTGAAAGCTAGCCCGCGATGAAGTGTAGTCCTAGGCTCCCCCTATACTCCATAAATCCGGCCACATACTCCTGCATGCTGTGTTCTACTTGCATGCATCTCGACGATTGCGCATATCCCTCATGTGCGCCCGCAATTCAGTCATGCTTGTCTCTAACTTGTGCGCATTCTTATGCGGCTACCTTATCGGTTCCAGTCTTGGGGTTCACAGACAAGTGTTGTATGTGAGAGACCAATCCGCTTCAGCATGTGAAAATGTCATTTCGTCGCCTTTCCGGTGAGAGATTTGAAGCGCTGATTGAGCTTATTTTTTTGGCATTATTTGTAGACCTCGTCGGGTGATTTTCAAGGAGTACTCGGTTTGCTGCGGAATATTTCGACAGCCCATAGCCTAGCAATTGCATGCACCTCTGGTACTAATTGTTACGGGCTGTGCCCAGTTCGGTTAGGCTGGGCTATGTTTCAGGCCCAGCCTCGTCCTAAAATATAAATCACGTGGTTACGTATATTGTCGTTTCTCAAGACTCGCTTTTGTCCGTAAATTATCCATATTTTTCTCGCATCAGATTTCAATTGTGTATGCAGCTATCTAGCTATGACACAATATCAAAGAAAAGTACAGAAAAGATGACTCAATTTACAAGGAGAGCACTCGTGCCTCAGATTTCATATGCAAGTAACACTGCGAAGTTATGGTGGCTTTTTCTTCACCCCAAGTCAACCCTCATCCGTGAATATCCACCCAGGGGAATGTCTCAAAAACCCTGGGTTATCCAGACATGCCTCCATCACCTTTCAACTTTTCTCCGCACGAAATGTAATCTGAGATGTCTCCTTCACAAGTGGAGTAGGTGCCCAGGCTACTCAGACTATACCAGAGAACACCACCAGGAGGTGGTCCAATGCACTATCCGTCGTTGGCTTTCTTCATTCCATTTTATTGTCCTTTACGACTCTATGACTATGTAGGACATGCTGGTCCTCTCTGCCCACAGGCCAAGGACACCTATACCAGTAGTATATCCCCTCCTATGCCTCCCACACAGCTCCCCTCAAACAGTCCTCATTTGATCATAAACTTAGAGGAGACCTTTGCCCTTCATTATCTCCCCTCTCCAGCCAACAAAGCAATAGCCATTTGCGGGTGTATGGCAGCCGGGAAAAATCGCAAAAACAACTGGGTGCGGAGCTCTCCTGATACCCAACATTAGGACTAAATCCGAAGACATAGTGACCCTTCTTAAGTGTTCGAAGAGGCCTGCTATCCGGATACAGCAGATCAGTGTATACCGGAGAGCGTCTCTCAATTCTCCAAGCCTCATCCTGATCACTTCCGTGATTCGTCCCACATGACAAATTGAAGGTCATGAAAGGATGTCGAGAATGTCTTGGTCTAAAGTTACTGCCTTGAAATAGCCTGGCCTGGGATCAAAAAGTCACTACGGGCGAGGGGATTTCGAGTAATTCATGAGCTTTATATGCTCTTTTGGCTAGAAGCTTGGGTAGTAAGAATTTATGGAGAAAGTGTTGTTGAAAATTCGAAATCTGCTTTTCTTGAAGGCGGAAAGTTCTTTTACTCTAATTTTATGTGCTTTTGATTGTCCACCGGCGAGAAACATGTGTTAGAATGTAACGAGGGTATCTCTGAGTACCGCTGTAGCGTTTGGTAGCGCAATATTTTCCCTTTTCCCAGCATCATTGTTGTCTAGGTCGTCACTTTCAGTTTAGAAAGTGTAATTTTGAACAAGGGGGAGATAGCTCAGCTCAAAGACGAAAAGGCTTTACTAAACTCGGCTCTGCAGACCATATAGTGAGTGCTGGTTGCTCGTAGGGAGCAATGCTGACAGGTGTTGAGTTTTCGTCCCCCAAAAAAATATATCAATAGAAACTGCGTGCACGGGAAGAATTCTCAAAAGTTCGTAACCTCGGTCCGGCGAGTTGCGAATATCTATCTTTCTGTCCTTTTCTTGCAATAAGTAAAGGTCAACATGATCCAATAAACTACCGCCCTATTAGGACCTGAAAATGCTCCAGGAACTTATCAGATGGCTTTTCTTCCATGATCAAGGGTGGGTGATGAGAAGGGCTTCGACCCTAGTATCTGATCTAATCGTAGTAAGCTTCATAGTATTTGTGCTAGGGAGCTTTTCTGAGGGATGAAGACGATACAGACTGCAAAACTACGAGGGAATGATGCAGTTCTTTTTGGCTACATCAGATGTATAGAGCTTACTGAGCACCTACACCGAAACTACCTTGGCCAACGGTTAAGATTGTATCAAATAGGGAAATAGTGTTATTCGAGGATGAATAGAGATAAGACGGGTTACGCACTTTGTATAACAGTAATATTGCACTCCCTAAACATAACAGTCATGAAAGTGTAGATTTAAGTTGTGAGGGCGAGTAGGATGTCATCATGATGGCTCGTTACTATTTCAACATCAACGTAGATATCAGTTTAGGTCCATAGTGCGCTGAATTAAGCCTATGAAATCAAACACAAAGGCACTTGTAATCGGTAAAACTTTAGTCAAGGCAACGAATGATCTCACAATGCTGCTCACAGACTGGGAATCCTTCGAGGACACCTCGCTATACTCATTGACTGTAAATATATAGAGAGAATCAAGCCTTCCCAACATCTTGGAAGTTTTTTTCCTGATTGCCATGGATCTTCGCCATAGTATCAAATGCGTGAGATACGGAATAACAGAAATCGTTTTGTTCCATACCTCCTAAATTGAAGACAAAGTGAATCAAACATTGAAACGTCGAGCCACATTTGTACCAGCATAATCTCTCTGTTAAATCGTAAAACTCTGGTTTATACAAATCTCGCTGAAAAACTAATCTCGACTAAAAAAATGTGGACAAACTCTACCCTACCACAGACGTTAAACATCGATGGCTTCATCTCCTTTCGAATTTTTATTTATATATCGAGATTAACTGTGGAAATCTCGCAAATTACAGCATTATCTCATCGCATAACACCAAAAGCCTTGCCTAGCCGCTCATTACTGATTTTACAGTCAATATTCCAATCCCAACTCTGTGCCGTAAATAATTCCACAGGATTACTGTTCTTGACACCCAAGGCTAGTTGAGACTTAACTAGCGCGAAGCGAAAACATCTACTGTCGTCGCCTGGCAAGCTCATATCTTGGCTGTTAGTATCGATCCAAGTTGGTCTCATAGGTTGCGTGGAAGGTGAAGGTGACTGCCATGATATAAACCGACTTCTTGAATGAGCTCCTCGTGTATGAGTCAGTGAGATTCCTAGACCAGTGTCCATGCAGGTTTTAATATAATCTAAAGCCGGTAGAAGCCGAGTTCGGAGACCACAGTGCGTGTGATTTCGGTCGAGTTGATATGAAGGACACTGGCGCAACTCTTCGATCAGAAAATCAATCTCGCCTGTGTAGGCTTCGAGCCAATTAAAATTCGAATCTTCGGGCGGTTCAGGAAGGAAAGAAATAAGAAAAATCAGATTTTTCCTCGAAAGAAATTTTACCATCTCGCCTAATTGGAAAGAATCACAGCTGGGACTACTATCATAGCCTAGCCTGCACTGTATATCTCGTGAGGAGTATAGTTGTAGAAACTGGGTTTGAATCGATGCGATTGTTCTCAAAACGCAGATACGGCGGTATGAAATTTCTGCTGATGGGATTTGAGTCATGTATTGGCTCACAAAGCACTATCCTGTGAAAAACTTACATTCTATGCCATATGGTATGTCCCACCAAGCTCCTTGCAGTTTAAGATTAGATTTTCCTCCTGTAGCTTCATTGTAAGTTGCAGCTTTGATTTTCTCTCTAGTTGCGGCAGAAAAATGAGGGCCTTTCTCTAAATGATATAGAATTAGTATTTTCTGACGAAGAATTTCCTCGCCAGCCTTATCAGGAGTGACGACATATTTGTGGCGTACAACTAACTTCTGGTAGCGACTAGAAATCGATGAAACAAGATCATAATTATCGGCCATGAGAGCTAGGACAGTCCAGCACTGAGTAGTAAAAGGTTTTGTACCTGGTTCCTAGAGCTGAGATGAGTGGGCTACGCTGCCCTAGAGTTTACTAAGACTCACCTGGCCGTGAACAATGCGCAGTAAATCTGCAAAAATATTCTCTCGCCCGACTGTTTTGGTGGTGAAATCTTCATCTACGATAGTAATCCTGGGAAGTTTTGACGCTTCTACTTGTGCAGGCTGCACTTGGGATTCAGCTAATTGTTCTGTCCTTTTTGCTAACGCTATACCTTCCGAAAATTGCGGGCTCAGGAGAAGTCTAAAGTACTCGGAGTTTTTGGCGAGAGTGCCAGATTTTATCCGGTATAAAATTCTTGGAGACGGGAAGGCTATTTTATCGGCCCGTAGAAGTCTTAGAGCGTCTCTCGGAATAGATCTGGAGCAATCTTGGCCTGTCCTAAAAGATACGTCGAGAATTAGATCTCCGTCCATCTTAATTTCAACCAGGGGACATCTTTTATCGTCTATTTCCAACGTAGGTAACGGTGGAGAGCTCGGCACGATGGCATGGCATTTACGGCCTACCATGTCGTGGAAGCATAAATGTCTTAGTCTTAGTTTTAATTTAAGAATCAACCTGCTTGAGGTGTAGAATTATTTTTAAATTTTGTAAAAAATATAGTTTTATTATGATAACACAGTACAACTAGGTTGCCGATGCGATTCGAATATCACGTGATCATATTTCGTGAGTAGTTACAACGTCGAATCACGCATTTCGCTAATACCGATCCCAAAAGCCAGAGGCCGGTCAGTTTCTGTCGAAGACAATATTCAGGTCGGTGTAAATCAGTCTTTGGGAAACCCTATTTTCTCTTCTACAAACCCTGAAAAGAGCCCAAAGCAGTCTTGCAATGGAAATTTGTGGGGATCATATAGGGCTTACTCGTATTCACATAGAAAAGTACCAGGTGTGAACAGCCCAAGCTGTCCATGAAGTTACCAACCACAGATTCACGAGAACGTAGGTTTGTCTTGTCGTCGATGGTTAAATGGTAGAGGAGAGATTTGGAGACAAGCCAAGGTTCAGTCCCTCGAAGTAATGATAAATGATCCTTGCAACTACAAAATAATTACACGGTGGATCCTAAATCATGGTTGGATAAAGCAATTCCAGATAATAAAGGCAGTCTAAATACTGTCGAAGGAAATTGACAGGGCAAGTAACTCTTTGTGTCGATGTAGAGGACGTGGCTGGCTTACAGGGATGGCACAATAGTGTAACTGCACTCCCTGGAGAAAACATAAAGATTTAGGGATCATCGCCGAGGAATTTTGTCAGCAAAGTAGCAGTCGATTGTCTGAATGTGCTAGCACAACAGTTTTCGGTAAACAGATGGTGATAATAAATTTATTCTGGAATTTATCTCGCTCTCTATCTGCTGTGCAAGGAGCATAACCTACAAGCCACGCAACCGTTGTAGCCCCATAAATAAGGCACTAGAAAGATAAATGCCCCATCTGTCCTATGTTCTAATCGAACACCTCCCATGTTAATTTTGAAGTTCGTGGACACCTGCATATGCTCATAGGGCTCCAAATGAGGATAATAAAATCGAATCAAACTTCGAGGCACGGGAACAAAGGAACAATATGATACTGAGAAGGGCAAAGGGTCAACACCCGTCTGCGGTGTTTTCTACGAACCTGTGAGTGAAATATTCTCCCGGTCCCAAGTTCAGTCAAGTTTTGCAATACCAAAGAACTCGGCCTGCGAGGCAGTGATTCAAGATACTCCGCCGTGTCAATCTTTTACTCCTAACGAGATTGATTCTTATCAAAAGCCTCGTCAAGTCTGTAAGTACGACCAAGTACATCCTCAGTTCAATTACCATACCTCTCATCGACTATTCTCTGGCCTTAACTGGTCAATAAATATACGCCCACGACAATACAAACATCAGTTGGAGGACAAAAATCGTGGCGCACAAATTTGGGGGACAGTTCTTTGGCATGGACCTGTAAGAGATTATGGAGAGTTTACAAGGTGATGCAAAGGGAAGATTTAGCCTCGATAGGTGTGGTATTTGGAATTTTGGCAAGGAAATTTATATATTGAAAAGTATTGTGCGCTCCGATGCTTCGCTTGCGAGAGTGCAGCTGGCACTATGAATACAAGTCAACGATTGGAAAACGCCGTGGTCGGCCTCCTGGTGGTGTTCTTTGGTATGGTTTGAGTAGCCTGGGCACCTGCTCCACTTGGGAAGGAGACGCCCCAAACCATATTTCGCGTGGAGAAAAGTTGATGGATGACGGAGGCATGTCTGGATAGCTCGGGGTTTTTGAGACGTTTTCCTGAGTGGGTATTCACGGATGAGGGTTGACTTGGGGTGAAGAAAAAGCCACCATAGCTTTGCAGTGGTACTTGCAAATGAAATCTGAGGCATGAGTGCTCTTCCCTTACATTGAATCATCTCTTCTGTACTTTTCTTTGATATTGTGTCATAGCTAGATAGCTGCATACGCAAATAAAATCTGATGCAAAAAAAAAAAAGCTTAGCTAGGCAACATGAGGTTCAGTGGTACCTGAAATGCAGTGGCTAGAAAATGCTACCTTGCGATAGTTGAGTGGCTTGTTGTTGCCAGATAACTGGGAGCTCGGGATCACAAAAGCTTTGAGAATCTCTATTTAATGATAGATTTATTTGTTCATATAGACTGAGTTAACGGAATATTACATATTGTCGGATGTTTATTTGTTTTCTATTTTTTTCGTGCGTCGGGGCGCCAAGCTTGACTTAGGTCCCTACTACCCACTAAACTACCTAGAGGCAGGGACGCCAGTGCTTACTGCCCTGGTGGCTTCGCCCTTGCTACTTCCTAACTAGGTTTGCAGGGCAATTCTCTAATTACATGATTGCGTGTAGCATAGCACCTGCACTTTTTCAGCCAGTCCCCGAGGCTCTTTACTCATTTGATGTATAACAACCACTCTCGAGATACTACTAATAGATCCATTTATAAATACCGCACCATCCATCCATAATGCAAGGCTCAGAGTTGGGGCAGAGTTGAAGACCTAAATATTTCTTCTCTGGGGTTTCTAGGGCAGGTCTTTATGTAAAACTCTGAAATAGAAAGCCACTTTGCTACACGTAGGGCCCCTTCCCAGGTTCCTAGCAAAATTTTCTTTGGGTCCCTTGAAGATGCTGGAGTTCGAGGAGGTCTATGAGCGGTTAGGTGGCACTCCAGGAAGTGCAAACATATTGTCGGAATTTAGAATGAATGGGGCTATCAAGTGGGCCACGTTGTTGATATACACATGACTGCAAATTCTGCACTTAGATTCACTTTGGTAGTCACATGTATCAATGCGCTCTACAACCTCAATGACTGAGGGGTCGGAGGGCAAGACTGAATACCTGTACGTGGTGTCCTCTACAAACCTGAGAGTGAAATATTCTCCCATAGCCAAGTTTGGTCAAATTTTGCAATATCGAACAAGTTGGCCCACGAGGCAATGGTTCAAAATACTCCACCATCTCAAATTTTCACTCTCATCGAAATCGATTCCCACCTAAGCCTCATCGAGTTTACAAGTACGACCTAGTACATCCTCATTCCAATGACCACACCTCTTGTCGACTTTCTCTGCCCTTAGCTGGTCGCCTGGTACACGCCCACGCCGATATTTACACCCGACGGAGGAAGCAAAGCGTGACGCACAAATCTGGGAGACAGTTCTTTGGGATGGACGTGGGAGGGATCAGGACAAGTATACAAGATGGTGCTAAGGATTGATATTAGCTCGAGGGGCGTGAAGTTCCGAATTTTGGCAAGAAGTTTTTACAAATTGAGCTTTGTGCGTGCCAAGTCTTCGGTTGCGAGAGTGCAGGCGACACTATAAACACCGCCATGGCTGGATGGTGCGGTGGTACATCATCTTGGCCGGTCTGCCAAGTAAAGTCTGGATAGCTTGGACACATATCCCACTGGAGACAGTAGATCGCCGTTTCAAATCCGGCAAAACACAACCACATATCTCGCAGCGCTGGCATGCATGGATGACGAAGGCATGCTTGGATAATCAAAAGGTTCGAAGTTCCCTTTGGTGGGTACTTACGGAGGATGGTCGACTGTTTGTGCAAGCAAGCTTACCTCATAGTGGGATTTGCGAATGAAATCCAGAGTATGAGTGTCTCTAACGTCAAAAGAGTCATCCTACATGTATACGAAGTACCGGTCATGTGTCATAGCTAGATAGCTGAATACACACCAAATGATTAGAAAAAAAGACTGAGGGGTCATTATTTCCTTCATACATATTATCAACTCATACTGAGAAGAGAGTTCGATATCCTACACAGCTATCAATAAAGTTTTGCCCGTAATTGGAAATTTGTTCGAAATATTTCCTCCCAGAAATCCTTGACAATTTCTAACACACTACTACATTATAGTGTTAATTCACTTGAAAATAGATTCTATGAAGTGTCTAGTCATTTCAGTTTCTTAATTCTATTGCGAGGAATTCTCTTAACATAAGGCTAAAACTTCATTTGGAGGCCCAGTCGTAAACTTGGTGAGCTCAACCTCAGCTAAAAATATTTCAATTACAACGACAGAAGAGTATACTGCAGAATTTCTTCTAAAAAATTAATAGACTTCTGGGAGCACCTTGTACCATTATTACAATAGTCTTAGACTTAAACAGGATATAAATCGAATAAGCAAACAAACGTCATTTGGATAACATTGGCACGTGCCTCATCAATCCTCCAAATTGTACCATACCAAGTTTGATTCCTGTATATAGATGCAGTCTCTCCAACCTCCAGAGACCTTCGATTCATTTTATTAACTGGTTATATCTATCACAATCATCGATCCTCTGGTCAACTCCCACGGCTTTACATCTAAAGCTCTGTTCACCTATTCCTGTGCTCGAATATTACTCTTCCTTCCTTCCCAACAGCCTGAAATCTCTCAAGATTTTCAACCTCACAACGAGCCTAAGTAGAGGAAGCCCTAGCAAAGCTAGTGAGAAGAAATTGCCCGTCCTGGAAAGGACCCCAAGCTGGCTGTTAAAGAACTGTAGGAACACTCAAAGGTTCTCGCGGGATTATTCAACGGGTGTATCTCAGAGAGATATCATCTAATAGGCTTCAAGGAGTTATACACAATTGCACCTAGAAAACCACAGAAGCCATCATACGACGCGCCAAAAGCTTACCAACAATTAGATTCCTGCACATAATTGGAAAAATACTAGGAAAACTAGTAGCCAACTAGATCTCTAATGCTACCAAAATTCACAATCTTCCTCCAGAAAAACAGATGGGGGCGCATCTCAATAGGTCCACGATCTCGGAAGCTGACCTTTTGACCGGATAGATCTACGACTTTGGGGAAATGATAAGAAACAAATTGCATCCATCCTTAGTTTGGACATCTCCGGAACTTTTGATAAAGTATACAACGAGAGACTAGTTCACAACATGAGACTGATAGGAATTCCTAAATGTCGGTAAATGGATCATATTTGGGCAGTATGAATTGTTCTATCTCATTGCAGTATTCAGGTTGTCGTTAGGACACTGACATGGATCTGACTTAGCTCATTAGCGGGGCGCTTGGAGTAGAGGGAGAAAGTGGAGGTGGAGAAGAAAAAGGGAGAGACAACGTTTTATGTATTTCGAGATACCAGTTAATTGAAATTATTCACCGACTTCGTGACGGACAGCTGACTTCGTGACGGCACCCAATTTGTATTACTTCGTGTTTTACCAACACTAAATGTATCACCAAATTTACCAAGCCACCTTTAGAAGAGAGGACTTCCTCATTAGTGTTGGAAATACTGTTTCCTAAATTTCTTTCTATCGATCAATGTGGTTGCATGCATCTTGCCTGAACTATATTTCTCAGTTCAGACAGGAGCCCATACTTCTGATCCAATCAGACTCAAAGTTTGAGTCTGCTTGAATCTCATTCTTCCCGAACAAAGCAATGACTGGATTTGTCCGCATTTTCTATTGCATGACCCAGTATTCTGAGTCAGTGGATAAATCTTTTCTGGTCTGGGATCTTAATTATTTCTGCAGTCGAGTCAGTTCCAGATAAACTTTCTTCCTTGTAATTCTACTGTATATATCATAATACCCGTATGTGTATGTTGATTTTATTGTTGAATATTTAAAGTCCTGAGATAACGTAAAAAGCTCTATATCCTACTATTGGTACAGTACCGGTGGAGCCGGTAAGGATCACTGTATATAGGCCCAACTTATTCCAACCGCGTGAATTTCCACATAAATGATGGTTTTAACAGCAAAACTAAAATCAAACAAAAATCAAGCTCAAAAGAAATCACAGTTAGGTCCGGATCCCGCGTTTCTCGCCCGTTCCATTTCCGGTCACATCTTCCAAGTGACAATTTCCGACCTTCGCTGAGGGCAGAACATGAGCTCGCAGGCACCCTTTATCCAGCCAATGTCCTACTATTAGTATGTTGAAGCCTCAACGACTTCACTGAGGCTCGCCGTAACCTTAAAACTCCTCTTCGGATCCCAGAATCCCAAAACCCGATTCATCTGACATGCAGTCATCGTTCTTCGAGCCGTAAATTTTCCGAATGGCTATTTCGGCTGCAGCTTTGATTCGAGCATAATCTGCATGATTTTCTGCTCGACCTTGCGAATTATCGCGAGCTGCTCTTTTTTCATCGGGCCAAACTTGCTGGGTCAGGCTTTGCTGAACCGCGAATCCGATCGATGCGGTCCCCCACAGTTTCGACACCGTGTGGGGGCTTTGAACTCCGCTTCCGAGTGCATTTATGATCCGCAGTTCCAACAAGCCGGAGCGCGGGAGCAACCGCGAGAGGCATGAAAGCGGAGACATCGTTTGCACTGAACTTTGTTTCAACGAGGTTGGAAGAGCTTTGCAGCTCTGGAGTCATCGAAGAAGCAGAATCCAGATCGAGACGTGGATTCGCGAGGGAAGAGCGCTTGCCAGTTCTGGTATGGCGCTCCAGGTTTGCAGGTCCCATGAGGACGAACAAGAAAAGGAATTAATTTGGTCACTCGCGTGATTTCGTCGGCGACCATCTTTTCCGTTATGAAAACGAAACCTGAGAGTATGTTAATTCTCAGCGGGACGGTGGCTATTTGAAGGGCAACCAGATTTGACGCTGGCTGCAGATTTATTCCAGATTCTCTCCGTGCCACGGGGGAATCCAGGAGTTCTTTCCGAGCGAGTTCATCCTTTGCTGTGAGTGCAAAGCCTGTTTTTACCCGCTGAACCAACGCGATATTGTTGGCTGCAGTGCCGAGTATCTCGGCTCTGTGAGAATTTTTCACTCCCAGGTTCGTGGAAGACACCACTGACAAATGTTCAGCCTTCGCCCTCCAAGCTGAACTTCTTTTCCGTTCTTACGCAATTCTTACTCAGGAGTTCTCTCCATACTCTGACAACAAGTCTTTGGCTCGCTCAAAGGAGGCAGCATTAACAAAAAGAGGTATATCCTCAGGGCTCTCCGCTGTCTTCAATTCTCTTTCTCATTTTCGCTTGCACTCTACTCCCCCCACTTCTAACAGAATCTTGCACAGCGATCGGTTTTGTGGACAACACTAATTCGACAATATGGTCAAATGCAACAGACGATAACTGCCAAAACCTGGCCCAGATACATGGGAGATGCGCTCTAAAGGATACCAAGCACGTGTTTTGAATTATCACGTGCCTGTTGGCTCAGCCTAGGAAAAAGCTACCCGACGTGCTGGCTCTCTTGGGAGCCCAGCATTTCCTGTAAAGCCTAGAACATACTATCTAGCGCCTTAATTTACAATTATGCTACAGAGAAGCTGGCCCTTCCACTGAGTCACTTTAGGCTTATCTAGTAGAAAATATAAATCTACGTGGCTTGCTCGTATTGTCTCTTGCATACCACAGTATGTGGGACCCGTGTCTTGTGACTGGGTCCCGCACATTCTTGGACATAACACTTGTAGCTAGAGAAATGGAATAAACAGGAAACAACATACTTTATTAAAAGTCCTACTTCTAGCAACAATTTTTAGCAGTCGTTATACGACCCATTTTATATGAGATACGAGACTTGAAGCCGCAAGGATTCTGGGTCGATGGATAATTCTATTCTATTCAGGGATCTCAATTAATTGTGTAGTGAGCTCAGTTCCGGGTGACCTCTCTGCCTTGCAATTCTACTGCCTATATCGTGATACACGTAGTATATTTAGTTACTTCAGCAAACTGAGCTTCTCCGTTCTCAGGCACTTCTCACTCTGAAGTTCTTCCAGTTCTCTAACAATAAGCCGAAGCCGAAGCCATAACTGGGCCCAGGGCAGCATTGCTACACGAGTAAGAAGCGAGCAAACTGGGCACAATGCTTATACCGAAGGAATGTACCAGGAGTAGGAAAGCCACGATGCCAATGTGGATATCCTTTTCAGAATGCACAGAAAATGGTGACGTCTTGTCCAAAACGAGCAAAGGGAAGAGGCGAGTTGCTGCAAAAATCATCAATCCAAACCTCCGAATCCATGTGTGATAGAAACCGAGTTGGAAACGACTTATTTGGTTTAAAAAACTTTATGATGAAGAAAGAGAAATCTGACTACAATTACATGGTACTTGTAAGATTAGATCCACTCTGTGAGTCATCTTGCTCATGCCTTTTCCTTGGGTCAAACGCTCGCCGCACAGCCACGCATTGTCCGTATTCACTGCTTCGTGAAATTGTTTCGACCTCTTGGTTATTAGCGCTGTTTCTTTAAGACTTGTCGATCATTCACCAACAGCCATATCGTCAAAATCTTCAACAATGCGCTTAGGTATTCACCTAAGCTTAATCAACGGTCGAGCCGTAACACTGTGGGAAATAAGGCCGGGGATATGACTAGAATTGCACAGTAGATTCAAAAGAAGAGATGGATAGAGTAGTTTCGGATGGCTAGAGTGATCGAGACATTCATCAGGCGAAGAGAAGAATATTGGAACACAGGAGAGAGACATAACCTAAAGTGGCAACAGCAGTGTAAGTGCACTTCCTGAAACTAAAGCTATACTGGCGTAAAATCCAATCAGACAGCTGAGGTTTACTGCAAGCTTTCCTCCTTTGTAAATTAGAAAGTCCGAAAGATACTGGCATAGGTCCGTAAGGCGCCAAATCAGGATAATGAAGTCAAGACTAAAAATTAAGATGCTATTTAAATTTGAAGTTGGTGACCTGGTCTGAAAAACTGTACCTGCTGTCATTATATAATCTAAAAAGTCTCAAAACCAATTTTGGTGCAATCCAAGCACATATTTGCTCTATATCATTCAAGCGGTTGAATTAAGATGTAGGGAAAGTGGAATGATTGTTAGAGAAGGGGTAATGTTCCACTCAGTAGAATGTGGAACCTTTAATACCGGATTACACAATTCGCTTATTTACGAGCCGTGCACTGTCTGGACGGTAGACGCGTCAGTCAGTATTCACTGAGTAATGTAAGCGGCGGGTCGTAGAGACGATCTATAAAATGAATCAGTAGTCATGCTTCGATAACTCAAGTCGTTGACAAACTACTTCTCAGTTATACGGGAGAATGAGATACATTAAGAAAAGAGAAGATTATTGGGCCATAGTTTGGTAGACGGGAACTTATGTATGACCCAACTCATATCACCACTATAGAATATCAGTTTAATACTGATTTATCTACGCCTTAAATTTACTGTGCAGTTTCTCTCATTAAGTTATAAAAGTGATCAGATTACTCAGATTTTAATAATGATGAAAACTATTTTGTGAATTCATGTCGAATTGTAACGTTTATAAAATAAAACTCTATTCCCGTAGAGAAGGCCTAAATACCTCAACAGAGAAAACTTATAATTCTACATCTTCTGATGTTACAGTTAAGACCTTTGCGAGATGAAGAGTTTTTTCTTTGATTACCGAGCCTCTATAATCAAGTATCGTTATGAGAGGCGTTACAGCCAGTTTAAGACGTCTCATAGAGGTTTGCTGAGCATATTCTTGAGCACAGGTTTGTTCGTGGGCTATCATCGTACTGGCATTAAACTTACTTGTGGTTTCAGGAAAAATTATTTTGAAGGCAAGTCCGGAGCGATGAATACTAGAAAATATACCAAATGCTTTGACAGTAATAGCACCTAGCTCCCGACCTGCTGAAGTGTAGTCGCAATTCTCACTCAAAAATTGACGAAGAATGTCACGGAGATATGCGACATGTTGTTTCAATTTATTTGAGCGCCATGAATTGTAATCTTTGTGATTCAAAATGGCTTTAATTGCAGAATCACGCTGATCAATAAGATTTTGACGATCGACCATAGTTATTCCTGTATTTCTATTAGATTAAATCTCTAAGTCTAGTTTATAATGTGTCTACGTACCTTTTTCTCCCATCTTATCCATAAATTCAACAAGTTTTTCGGTAGTATCTTCATTAAAACCATAAAAGTTACTGAGAGATAACATGTTCTCAAATATATAAGTTGTCATCATCTTCATCGCAAATAAGTACCTTGTGCTGGTATGGTTCATAAAATCTTTAACCCTTTTTTCATTAACTTCTCGGTCTTCAGTAGAGACACAACTAATCATGTAGTTCCACAGAAGACTATTTTGAGCCGAAATTTGTGTGTCATTATAAACGTTCGGCTCATATGCATAAGTTAAACACCATTTTTCAATCATATCGAGAAGCGTTTGGAACAATATTCCGAAATCTAAATTTAGATAAGATTTGAAAGGAATGATAGAATTGTATAGATTTGCATTTGGGTTAAGCTTCCGAGACTTGTGTTTAACATTACATTGCTGTTTAACTTCAATTTTCTGGGGTAATTCTAGTCCAAACTCTGTTTGATTGGTAGGAATGTGTGGAGAATTTGGATCAATATCTTTCAAGTTGTTCATGCTTTTAATCTTTCTCATACTCTCCAATAAATTATTATCGCAGGATAAAATTTGTTTGGTACTTGCAGAGCTAGTTTGTGACAAATGAGGATTACAAACACCTTGTGAAACCTCTGAAGATTTGATGACGTATGATTCAGGGTCGAAAGCATATTCAAAAAAGTTGTTATAATGATTCACTGTTTGAGATAATAATCTATCAATATTCTGAAAATCATCACGATCAAATCCCCAAGATTGTTGATTCATACTGGGATAGATAATTGTCCTTGGGATTTCTTGCTGCATTAGTACATTTTGCCCACTTTCCTGGTTTTCGCGTGCTGGAAACGTAAATATCAGTTTATCTTGTCCGCACCTTAAAATATTGTTTTGTTGCTGGTATTCCCGATTGATTTCATTGATTATATTGTGGGCCTCGCTTGGATTTTTCTTCATACCTTCAATTCCTTGTGTATAAAGTTCATATTCATTATAGGTTTGGAGTAACTGACTTTGACTTGGGTTAGAGTGTGCATGGTGGCTAAGATTTGAATCTAATTCTGGCGAAAAGTGCATGGAAAATATGATTTTTGCTCTCTGGAAATCATCGCAAAGGATTTCAAGATCTTTTATGAGTTCCTGCTGGAAAGTAGTAGATAAAACACTATTTTTTTTTGTCTTATTATAAATTACGCCAAGACTTTCCACAAATGATTCAAGGAGATAGTTAATGTGTGATCTCTAGCAAGTTTTCAGATTAATCTGGTCATTCTATTTGTTTAGACTTACTGATATATCATTTTGCCTACTTCTTGGATCCTGCTCAGTGGAGTGATTAGGTAGGACTGACCCATTGTATCGACTTGATTTATGACCAGAAGTATCGAGATGACTATCCAAATGTTCCTGAAGAAAGGCTCGTATTGTGTTAACTTTATCTTGACTCTTAAACATAGGATTTTCTAGACACGACGATAAACTTTTCATATTCTTAATTGTGAGATTGACCGATTGAATAGTTCTTCGAAGTCTTGAAGCTTTGTACTTAGTAATGATATTATTGTTAACTGATTGCAACGAACAAATATTTAGGGATGAAGGGCAATTGAAAGCAAGCCCTGATTTTCTAATTGGCTGTAATAATCAGTGTTACTATACTGGGTTTATCATAGGCAGTTACAGCGAACAGTTTTCTTATAAAAGTTGCTGCATAAGAGGCATTTCTTAAATGATCTGCAGATTCGTTTCTAGAGGATAACGTACCAAATTTGATAACTTGAGAGATGGTTAGTAGCTAGGCATTTACAAAACTTAGATAAGTTGAAGTAGTTCTTGCAAAATTATAGATGAGATTTAGGTTTGTTCTGATATGATAAGGTTTCTCCTGTATTGATTCACTAGAATTAGACAAAGGCAATGAGGCGTAGATGATTCTAGCCGATGATAGTCTCCCATAATCGTTATAGTGGCCACGAGATCCATAGAGCTTAATTATTTAAGTAAAATAATAAAATGTAGAGTTTGCAGGCAAGAAGTTGAATAAAAATCAAAATACATTTTGGATTTCGACTCGACTGGATCTAACAAATTTTAAAGTTAAAAAATTACATAACTAGATATTTCTAAAATCATGTTATTGATATTTTGATTTTAGGGATCGCTATTTAGTAAATATTTTGGAGAGCATACTCCAATCTATGATGCAGTACTGGATATCTAATACCATCTTTTTGAAAAGTTAGCACATTAAGATTTTAAAAAAATTCAATTTGTTTCAAACTTAAAACGTAGAGTTGGAATAGATAATATTTTTTTCCAATACTTAACTAATCTGTTTTCTCAATGAAAAAGCCATAGTTATGTCATAAACTGTTGAGGAGTAATTGAACTGAATTTTAAATTAGCGCCATGAATTATATATAATACCGTACCAAAACTAGACCTAGGGAACGTAATGATATAGATAAAATCCATCTGGCCTGAATTTAGTCCATTTTTATTCTTAATTTGGAATGAGAAATGCATACTGCTGTCCTGTACCAGATAGTAATTTAGGGTTCAGATAGAGATCATATTCTAAGCTACTAAGATCAATTTTATTTCAGAGGATTATGACTTTGCGAAAGGAAACAAGTCAAGAAGTTATCCCCTCTTTGGGATATTAGATACAGAGACCATAGCTATTGATCGTGACAATACAATTCTTCTGATAGCAATTATAGTTATTTCGTGTGAAGGTCAAGTCATTTGTAGTTATCATGTGATTATGAATTTTATCACATGAGAACAGTAATTTTTGATCTGGATACTGCCAGGCAAATTTTTTTCTCTTCAAGTGTGAGAATCTTAAGCGCTTTAAAGCTCTAGGAACGATTGCTGTAAGATTGCACAGGAAAAAGGCAGGATCTCGAGCTTGAAAGATAAATTTGAAAATCTTTTTAGAAAAAACTTTGTAAAGGCAGCTTAGGTGTTTTAGCTCTGTTTTCGGAGATATCCGAGAATTTATTCTATTTTGTATAATTCTAGATTTGATGAAAAAGTAATGGTAGTTAGAGATATAACTTGGAGAAATATGCCACATTACTGATGTAAAATTTTATACTCGCATACTGATACTTTGCTATGAGAGGGTTCCCCTGCAAAATTTTTGGTACAAAGCATAACCCTTTATGCAGAAGAGAACTGTAAAAACAAACTGCACTATACTCGGCGCCAAAATATCGAGCTAGTGAGCGAACTCATATCTTTGTAAACGTTATGACGCAGAGGCTTGGTGAGTCCCCGGATAGCTCTAGTTTGTTGGCTTGCAAGAAAGTTGGTTAGAAACACGAGGAAATATTACATGTAAAGATTAAACTAATGTCTGAAAGATTAATGTGAAATACGGATGAAACATTTGGTATATTATCACTAACTAAACACCAACCATATAGGTCTATGAGAGACGGTTCAAATCTGTGCACATGTCAACAGCACTACCTATGTGTTATCAGTAAATGTTGTCGGTCGAACGCTGCAATTTCGAGCGTGTTAGTCTGTCAAAATTTAAGAGTGGCTCCTGCATTTAAAAGATATCAGCGTAGTTCTCAATAAAGTTTGATCGAAAATGTTGTCTTCATTATTTGAAAAGATTTGACACGCGTGGGCGCCGATTCTTGGACCTCTTTTCGGAGAAGGTATTTTGAACAATCTGGGAGGTGAGAGCCGTTGGAGCTCGAGCCAGTATAGTGCTGAAATAATGTTAGTTTATAAAATTATCGAAATATTATAGTTCATACTAAAAGTCCTACAATTCAGTGAGTGAGGATGGCTAGATTAGCATCTCAGATAGCCTTTGTGCGTGAGAACAAACTGCTGTAGACGGCATCCACAACTGGGGTAGCGCTAATCATTCGACCACCAAAATATCTGCCGTTTAGGCCCTTAATTGCATTTTCTCCGCCTTGAACACGATCAAATTTCAGATAGATATCACCCTGTGAGTTTGGATCTAATGCAATGTGAACAACATGGCCATATTTTTCTTCCGCTTCGGCCCGAACATCATCTTCTAGCTCCTTTTCCCAGTTTTCGCCTTCTTCTCTGTATAGATTTGTCAACATATATTTTTTCAAATTGGTCTTATTGTACATACTCAGCGGGGTCAAACATATTCTTCAAAACTACACACCTACTCGCCATGTTGACATTTACTGATAGAGGTTTTGCCTCGGTCTTGGGTTTGAGGATTTCACGTTTCTCGTCTCGGCCCTTGGTGATAGGTGCAGGATCATCTGCCCTAGCAAGTTTCCTCATTAGTGCATCTCGACTATAATTATTAAAATTTACAGCGCCAACATCAGTGTCATCAAGAGCACTGGCTCCGCCAGCACCTTTATCACTGTCACGACCTCCAGCCCGGTCGAAATTGCTTCCACCAGTTGCTTGTGGACCACGTCCGCCAGCACCGGAGAATGCAGAACCCTGAAATTGTTGTTGGTGACTTTGTCCTTGGAATCTTTGCAAAAGGCTGGCGGTAGATTCGGGAGTGAACTTATCGTTTCCAAGTCCAACACGAATGGGACGGCCTGCTAAATCAAAACCATTCATTTTTTCGAGTGCCTCACGAGCCTGATTGGGATCACGAAATCTGAGGTGTGATCAGTAGATAGATAAATCATTTTGTGAAACGAACATACTGGACAAATCCATAACCACGACTGCGTCCTTGTTCTTCTTTTTGTAACTGAACGAACTCAAGCTCACCAAAAGGTTCAAAAACGTTCTGTAAATCACTTTCAGTGATGCTGAAATGAATATTACCCACATATAGTCGATGAAACGGTATCTGATTTGAATTGCTGCCTACGGCTTCAGGATTGCGAACTTGTCGGTTCTTTTCAGCTTCGGTAAGCTGTGCAATAATTGGGATCCCTAAGAGTTTTTGACCAGTAAGTTGGATGGCAGCAGGGACCGACTCCTCTTTTTTGAACTCAACATATCCAACACTACATGTAATTTTTGTTAGCTTTACTTTTTAAAATGAAATAAATTAAATTACCCCTTAGATCTACCACTAACTCGATCTTTAACAATCTGTGCTTCCTTTACCGGTCCGACCTTCTCGAAAAATGCAATAAGTTCCTTGGTACGAAGACGAGCGGCTAATTGTTGGACAAACACGGTACGACGATCACGTTCATCTTCAGTCAGAGGCGGAGTACTCTCGCGTTTTGGGCTTTTGCTAACTCGACGCAATTCAGTCCTATTCCGTCGGTCTTCTCTAGGCTTTGTACTCTCTATGTCATCACGATCCCGACGATCACCTCGAGGACGATAATACCTGTTAGGACTTCTAGAGCGCGAACGAGTACGACCACTACCTCTGTAGAAGTCACCACCTCTCCTACCAGCTTCGTCTGGGCTGTCTCTATGACGACGTGAGTGTCGACGTTCATCGTCACGGCTTTTGCTTCTGCGCCTACTCTTTGCGCTCCCATGAGCACTTCCACGATCACTTGCAATAGAAAGTTCGATAATTTCTTCACCGTTGACCTCCCGCCGAGACCGGTCTCTGCTTCGATCGCGGCGTTTGCGATCCCTATCACGATCTCTGCTAACGTCTCGAGCTCGATCCCTATCTCGACGTTCGTGTCGCTGGCTTTTGTGTCGATCGTCTGAATCTTTTACTTTTGAGCTGCCGTTCGTTCCGACTGCAGTACCATTTGCGGCCGAGTCCAAAAGTGCTTCCACGTCTAAGGCCGACATTGCAAAAGGTGAACAATAATTTAAAAGACTCAAATGCGTATAAAGATTATCTAGGGGGGCTTGTGTCGGATGTGATGGTGTCAAGCTGCCGTCTAAGGAAATAGTGAGGTCAGATGTCACGGTTGAGTTCTGGTTCACACCGCCTTCCTTGATTTCGTTGGGCAACTCTAAGATGCGCTTCACGTGATCATAACTGCCATTGATTAGTTTTCATCTACTATGATCGCGTTGCTACTTACACTCAAGCTTTCAAGTATCTTAAATTGTACATCTATATTTATAAAAATTATTGTCTAAATTAGTAGCTACGTAGAAACTATACGTAACCCCAAGTGGTTCACACTGAGACAATCTCGTACTATACTTGCAGTGGCATAAGCTTCAAATGGGGGAATTTATCTAAACAAGTGAATTTTGGTGGTTTAATGTCTACTTTTAGCAGTCCTTCATAGTCTTAAACTCAGTAGGGACTTAAATTTAATTCTATTCTATTCTATTCTATTCAAATGGGGGACTATTCTCAACACCTGTCAGCGGTGTCCCCTACGAACCTCCAGCTCTCACTGTAGAGTCTGCAGAGCCGAGATTGAGTAACAAAGTCCTCACTTCGAAGAGGATTCCCAATCGCTTTCGCGGTCTGTATCGTCTTCATCTCTCAACACATCCCCCTATCACCTTATCATGAAGCTAACCACGATCAGATCAGATGGTAGGGTCGGAGCCCTACTCATCACCCACCCTTGATCATGGAGGAAAAGCCATCCGATGAGTTCCCGGAGCGTACCCAGCACCCGATACGGAGATGGTGGATTGGATCAAGTCGGCCTCGGCTGTTACAAAGAAGGGACATATAGATGAATATGCGCACCTCATGTGGTCTCAGTATCTAGGCCTCGCCTGGCTGAGGCTGCAGGTTTTTGAGACCTTTTCCCGCGCACGCAGTTTCCATTGCTACCATTTTTTTGGGGTAGAAGGTTCCGTGGAAAAGGTGGCTGAAATCCACGGGTAAATACTGAGCTGAATGGCTATTCATCACGGGCAACATATCAACGATCTTATAAGTAATAAAAGAGGCAAGGAGCACTGTACAAGGTGTGGCCTGGGTCAGAGAGGAGCCCAATGTGGTAGATAGTCTTAGACTCAAGTAGCACAATAAACACACACACACCCACAATTTTTTAAAATTCGATTTTTCGAATATCCCCCTTTACCCCCTCTCCCTCCCTCTCGCGCTCGTCGCATTCCTTCAATAAATTGTAATCGAGTCACTGGCATTTTCGTCATGCCACCTGTTCGAAAAAAGCTCCCCAACTCAATGTTGGACAACGCGAGAGTCCGCCCGAGGGCTCCTGCAAAAACACCTGGCCTCGCGCAAAAATTATCAAGCCTATTTGCGAGTGAGGCCTTTATCCCTGGGAAGTCTCCAAACCTTCCCGATCAAGAGATGACTGATTCTGACCCGATCAGAACAGAAACAAATGGTCAACAGACCACGAAACCCGCCGAGCTGGCCCCCGAGGCAAGCAGTTCAAGGAAAGGAAAGGAAGTCGTCCGAGAGAAGACGACAGAACAAGCAGAAACATCTGCAAGAAAATTCACTGTGCCAACTCCGAAAGGCACAGCTTCGACATCAGCACCGGAATATCCTCCGGAGCTGCAATCAGTGATGGAGGCCGAGAAGCGTCGCACGACGCAAATCAAGGCCCGTTTATCAATCTGTTCCACTGCAATAAGCAGTGTTGAAGCAGCACTTTCGCCTCTCTCGATTGGCGACGAAAAAGAGTTTGTAGACGGCGTCAAAGTCTACCTTCGAGCGGCCATTGGCCAGCTCATACAATCAGGCCCAGGGAGCACTCCACCAGCTCTCCCTGCGCGCCCCAGCAACCCTCCTCCGCCGAGGGCTCATGAAATTAGGGTACCTAACCCTACGACAACCCAGGCTCCGGCCCAAAAGACAACTTGGGCCACAGTAGCCCGTGCAGGTCTAGGCCGCAGTGCCGGGCCGTTGACTACAAAGGCAGCACCGCCCGCCCCAAAAGCAAAAAGTGCCAATCCGAGGACAAAAGTCGACACGAGACTTTTTCTACGCCTCAAAGCTAACCACCCCCACCGACTCCTGTCACCAGCTGGCGTAAGATTAGCTGTGTCACAGGTGCTTGGTACCGCTGCCGACAACATCACGTTGGTTCAGCGGGTCAAAACAGGCTTTGCACTGACAGCAAAGAATGAACTCGCTCGGAAAGAGCTGCTAGATTCCTCCATGTCACGGAGCGAATCTGGAATCAAACTGGAACCAGCGTCAAATCTGGTTGCCTTGCAAATTGCCACCGTACCGGTGACAATAAACAAACTTGCAGGTCTCATCGAGATCACGGCAAAGATGGTTGCTGACGAAGTCACGCGAGTGACGAAATCGGTTCCGTTTCTTGTCCGTCCACACGGGTACTGCAAGCCTGGGGCGCCATACGAGAACTGGCAAGCCCTCTTTCCTCGCGAGTCCACGCCCCGACCTGGATTCCGCCTCTTCGACGATTCTGGAGCTGCGAAGCTCTTCCGACCTCGTCAACAACTCGAACAGTGCAAACGTTGTCTTGGCTATCACGCCAGCCGCAGATGCTCCCGCGCTCCAGCTTGCTGGAACTGCGGCTCAAAGATGCACTCGGAAGTGGAGTGCAAGGCCCTCACACGATGTCGCAATTGTGGGGGACCTCACCAATCGGACTCTCGGCACTGCCAAGCCAGACCCAGAAAAGATGGACCGGTGACCAAGTAACAGCTCGCAGCAATTCGCAGAGTCGAGCAAGAAAGATATGCAGACTTTGCCCGTGTCAAAGCTGCATACAAAAAGGAGGAAGAGGCGAGGAACGCCTCTGCGAAGGACGTCTCCATGGCGGAGGGATCGGGTTTCGGAATTCTAGAAACCGAAGAAGAAGTTTGAGGACTCGGCAGTCCTTGGTGAAGTCTACAACAACTTTCACAACAAAAAGCAGGAAACCAGCCGATAGCAAAGGTTACCTGAGAGCTCATCTTTCGCTCTCAGCGGAGATTAGGAAAAGTCACTTGGAAGATGTGACAGGGAAGGAAACGGATGAGAAGCGCGGGATCTGGACCATATATGAAATTCTTCTAAATTATAATTTATTTTTTTCAGTTTATTTCAGTTTTTTGTTTGATTTACGCTTTGATTTTAGTTTTGATTTAAGTTATGTTGTTAACTTCATCTACTTTTGTTGAGGTTCCCGCGGTTGGAATGAGTTGGGCCTGTACGCAGAGAACCCCACCGGCTCCACCAGTCTTGTACCGATAGTGGACCTAGAGCTTTAGCTTAGGACTTTAAAAAAAAAAAAACAAAAACAATCTTTTGAAATTCGTATTTTCGAATATTTACCCTTTCCCCCTTTCCCTCTCTCTCTCGATATCGTGATATCGTACGTCCTTAATTCAAAATTTGTGAGCGACTGGCAGGCTACCAATACGCCCCCAGTTCGCAGTAAGCCATCGCGGGCGAAAGACATCGTAGATAACCGCAAGCACCTCAAACACGTTGCTCGACAGAAAGCAAGCGTCAAGTTGGGCCCACTGACTGCCGTTCAAGAGATGAATATCGACCAATTAATCGACGAAAGTACCATAGATTGCGATATGATAGATGTTGGCAACTTTGACATTGACAAGATTCTTAAGAATCTGAAAAGACTACCTAACTCAATTCACTCCAAGCCTGATGCGACCGGAGCTGAAAATGCAGCGACGAGTCGCAACAATTTAGGAACAGCGACTACCGAACAGCACATACTTCCTCTCCTTGAAGTCGCTGTGCCGGCTATGAGGCGTGCTGCGATTGCAGATGCTAACAAGGCAAAAGGAGCTGCATCTACCCCGAACCCCCTGGAACATACACCAGGAACCACAGAAGAGAATCCTTCTCCCAACGGTGGAAATGAAGGCAGGCAGACGGAGGAATGCCCCCCAGAACTCAGAGCCTTAATTGAGGCTGAGGAACGCCGGGCCGCAAAAACTGCGGAAAATGTAAAAATTTGCACCGCTGCAATAAACGGTGTGGAGAATGCTCTCTCCCCCCTATCCAAAGGGTCGAGTGTTCAATTTATAGACTCTATGAAAGTCTACATTAGAGCTGCAATAGCTCAATTCATGATATCGTGACCGGGTACAGTCCTCCCAGTACTTCCCTCGCGCCCTGAAACCCAGGCTACTGGCAGCAAGATTATAGAACGTGCCGCCAAAAAGCAGGATGAGCCACAAAGTAAAGTGACTCATGACAAAGTCTCCCGGGCCAAAACCACTTGGGCCTCAATCACCCGCACCGGTATAAAGACTCCCCCGGCAGCTACAAAAGTCGTGCAGGCTATGCCAAAGGCGGCAAACTCGACGCGACCTTCAAAAAACCCGACCGTCCCAACGCAGTCAGGCACCAAAGATGAACGCTTGTTTCTTCGCCTTGGAAATGAACACCCTTGGAGAAAGCTATCACCGTTTGGTGTTAGAGAGGCTGTGGCAAAAATGCTTGAAATTCCTCAAGCCAATATTGAGCACGTATACCGTATTCCAACTGGCTTCGCAATTATAGCCGAAAACCAAGAGGCACGCGCCATCATGTTAAGCCTAGCTGGGTCCCTCATCCAGCAAGATTCCATACTGGAAGAAGCATCGGACCTGGGCTCACTTAGAATCGCAACAGTCCCAGTTGCCATTAGTACAATAATGGGTAGAGTAATCGTCACTGAAGAGATGGTAACAGACGAGATAGTCAGGGTCACCAAGGCTGTTCCGGTAAAAGCTCGCCCACATGGGAAAAGCCGACATGGAGCCCCATACCAGTCATGGGTAGTCCTTTTCGAAAAAGCATCGATCCCTCGGCCAGGTTTCCGACTTTTCGACGACTCTGGGGTTGCAGTCCGCCACCAGCCTCGTCAAAGTATCAACCAGTGCAAAAGATGCCTACAATTCCATGGCACCAGAGGCTGCTCGCGCGCCCCAGC